GAGTACAAGTTTCTCTTTGAATTTTCAGCTTGGATTCTTTTATGATAACCTCAGAGATCATTGGTTCCCCTGTCACTGAATAATCTTTCAGGGCACTTTTTCTATGCTAACAGCTTTTCATTCTCACTCTTTTCAGTGTAAACTCTTCTAATTTCCTTTCCGTCTATAGAATCAATTCCAGCCTCAGGCTGCTACTTTTAGGCTTATCTCTGGTAAAAGACACATCAGCCTGACAATTTGAGAGAATGAAATCCTCTTATTACCTGTGAATAACATGCAGTACAAGTATCTGTCATGCCAGCTCCTTAATTCCTTGCCCACACGTTCTTATAGCAGCCGCTGAAGCGGAAGAGTTATTTGCTTTTCATTGTCTTCCTACTAAAAATAGGAGTGCTGACTGGACTGACATGTTGTAGTTTGAAAAGATGCTCCACATTCACCCTCCTTAAGTTTTTTAAACACATCCCTCCTTGCCCACTGGATAGCAATGCATTTCAGCCCCTGCTCAGTCAGCTTAAGGGCACTTTGGAGGAGCTTGCTGCTTTTCTACTTCTCTTCCCTCCCTTCACTATAGCACATCGTTCAGTTTATGTTAAATTAGTTTATAGCTTATAATCTTGACTTTATTTGTTTATTATTTTTAATTCTCATTTTGTTAGGCAACCTGAAGGTCCCTCATGGAGACACAGAAAAGCCCTGGGTAGAAATGTCACATGGCTCCGAGACTGAAAGTCCAAGCAGCGAAGGAAAAAGAGCGATGACTCTTTCCAGGTTAAGGGAGTCGTTCTCTCTGCATCAAAGTGAGAGTTATTTCCAAAGCCCAAAAAAGGTAAAACAGAGACACAGCTCCACTAAACAACTGTCACTTGATACCATTTTGAGTACTGTGAGGACTGGAAAGGCTGTTTTGAGTGAAGATTCTGAGAGTTGTCGTGAGACCAAGTCAAAGATGTCAGTTCCAAGGAGATATTTGAGAGAAGTAGAAGAAAATACAGATTCTGGATTCAGTAGCACTTCTGGATCAGATGCTGGATATGACACTCCAGAGGCTGGGAGCTGTGTCATTGGTGAAACTGTAAATAATCCCGTTGAAGAAGAATTCTGTAGCTCAGAACAGCATCAAAGCGAGTGTCGTAAGACTGATGGACGTGGTGAGAAATCATTGGAAGGTGACATTCAGGTCTCGGGCACTGAACATAAATTAAATGGAGTGAATGACTGGAATAAGCAGAGTAACTTACCTCAAGAAGCCAGTAATTCTTCACCAAGAGTAAAATGTTTTAGAAGTGAGGCAGATGGCTTCAAGGCAGCTGTACATCCTGAAGTGAAGAATACCAGAAACTCTATGCCATGTGTTGATGTACTGGTGGAAGTTAAAAAGAAAACCGTGCCGCTTGAATTCTCTATGAAAGCTTTAGCAGAAAGGGTAAGAAAGATTGTACAGCAACAACAGAAGTGTACAGAAACACAAAATTACAGAAGATTTAGAGCAAAAATTAGTCCTGGAGAAAATAAAGTAGCAGAAGATGAATTAAGAAAAGAGATCAGGTATTTTTCAGCTTCTTAACTTGAATTTGCTAATTAATAACAATAGCTAAGGAGAAAAAATAAAAACTGTCTTGGAGGGTGGGAGAAAGGCTTACATCTACATTCTAATTTTGGAGATGCCTTTTGTCCAACTCATTATGCCATTATATCATCCATTTGGGCAAGCAGTTTTACCTGGCAGTGGTCTGCAGTTGTTGGAACTCAGTGCAAGCAGAATGTGGAAGAAGACACTAAAATGAAGGCCAAAAATATCATAGATGTGGCTCAGCTAAAATTTGCAATCTGCAGTGCAGGCAGAGAAATGTTGCGACAGGTCTGTGACACTTAAGAGATTGCACAGCTTGTATTTCTCCTTCATTAATGTGAAATTTGATGAGATGTGGTGGTGAAAATAAGTTGTCTTCGATGATCACTGGGCAGTAACAGTGTATGATTTGTGAATTTGGGGTATTAAATAAGGTGAAGAAAGTCTTGTCCTTGCAAAAAGTCAAACGTGTCAGCTGGTTTGTTTTAGGAGCATGCTGCTGCCTTTGTTACTGTTTATTTGCACCATCACCATCCTGCACGCTTCTAATTCTCTTCCCATTAGTGGCTATGTTTAAAATGGGTGAACATTGGGCAAATCTTGTCTGAGACATGAATTGTTCTCTGCCAGACGTGGTGCCACCAGTCAGTGCCATGTTCTGCATTCATATCCTGCTTCCATTAGACTTCATGTACACATTTTCCGTGTAAAGTTCTACAGGGGAAAAAAGGAAGTATTGAAGTTTTGTACTGACGTGGTAACTGATGAGGCTTGTCTTGTGATTTGCTTGTATTTCCTATATGCAGTAAAGACATGTTTGCAAAAATGGAAATCATCGGCCAGTTCAATTTAGGGTTTATAATAGCCAAGTTGAATTCTGATCTTTTCATAATTGACCAGCATGCTACTGATGAGAAATACAACTTTGAGATGTTACAACAGCACACGGTTCTTCAAGGCCAGAAGCTGATAGTGTAAGTATTCTCAGTGTTTTAACAATTCTATCACTTTAATTCAATGTTTTAGAACGATATGTATGATCTTCCTTATTTAGGTATTTCACACATTCAAGACATTTACAGCAAGAGTTATTTTTATATTCAGTGTTACAAAGAATCAGTCTTTAGATAAAATTTCCAATAAACTGCAGGTAATTGTAGCTGTGCAGCCAGTGAATGGTCAGTGAGGTTTCACAGCAGGATTAATGTCAGCCTCAATTTGCTGAGTGTGGTTGTGGAGTGAGGAGATTGGAGACGGTTATAGGCACAGGGAATGCTGCCCAGGTAGTTTTACTGTGCTGAGTAATGCTTGGAAACAGTGCTCTGCTCATGGTGTGGTTTGTTGCTGTTAGTTTTTACGAAGCAAGTGAGATGCTTTCCAAGAGAGTCGTGCTTTTGGTGTCAGAACCTTAAGCACTCTGTGTTCCGTACCCACGCAATGCTGCGTTTTTCTCTTTCAGGCCTCAAAACCTTAATTTAACTGCTGTAAATGAAACAGTATTGATTGAAAACCTGGAAATATTCAGAAAAAATGGGTTTGACTTTGTGATAAATGAAAATGGTGAGTTTGTGCCAGAATTATTTTATTCCAATTTGCATACAAAAATCTCTGAGCAGAAAAATTGAAATGATTTATCATTGCATACATCCTTTTTGTGAGGCTTACCATTTTGTAGTCTTCTTATGCTGTTTATGAGAACATTGCAGACTACCTCACTTTAAAAAAGTTGTTGCAGACTTTATAGTCACGATATGGAGTTGTGACAGAATGTGCATCTCCTGGATGTTTTATATTGAAATGTTTTTCCTGTCCTCTTAGACTTGTGGGTCCCAGTTAAGTCCGGGTAAATGGTAAACCTTGTGATTTTAAACTAAGATAGCACTGGTGAAATATCCTGTGGCTTTCCTTACTGCTTCAGCATCGACTCGATGTGTACTGATCTCATGAACTGTGAGCTCCATGCTCCTACAACGCAGGGTAACGCATATTTCAGAGCTTCCTGGGGGAGGATTGTGAAAGCCTTGTGTGCCAGCACTTCTGGCACTTGGGAAGTCACTACAGATTGTTCTGTGTCTTTTGCTTCAAAATCTCAAATTTTTGCCCAAAATGCTATTTATAATCAAGTTTTTACGAAATCTGCTTTTGGAAATTGAAGTATTTGTCATCATGAGTTTTCAAGCAGTTTCTTGTCAATTAGAAGAAGAGAGTCTGCTGGACTGCTTTGGTTAGCTGTATATCTCCTCAAAAGACTAAAGTGAAATGTTGGCACACAGGCAGAAGACATCAATGTATCGAAGTAGTTTCTCTGTTTTTCCTCTTAAGAAAAAGTAATTTCATGTAATATTTTTGTTTCTTCATTAATTATTGCAAATCTTTCAGCTCCTGTTACCCAGAGAGTTAAATTAATATCCTTGCCAACAAGCAAAAACTGGACATTTGGTCCTCAAGACATAGATGAGCTGATCTTCATGTTAAGTGACTGCCCTGGAGTCATGTGTAGACCTTCCAGAGTCAGACAGATGTTTGCTTCTCGAGCTTGCAGGAAATCTGTAAGTACAGCTCAAGCTCGATGTTTGTTTTCAGATAAGAACCGTATTTTCTGTTGTATTACACGTGGCTGTATCTGCATGTATATTGCAGGGGAAGTTTCTTTACTACTAGATTTCAGCAGCTAATATTCTTACTTTCATTCCCTGTCTTTTTCTCTAGTGGGGCTTCAGAAGGATCCTGGCCATTTTATATTCTGGTTCAAGCTAGTGCATTTCTGAACATACTTGTTTTGATCAACTTGCAGGTCTTTTTCCTTCTAATGTCTTGCACAAGACATTATTTGCTGTAGTAGTAGAAGTACCACTGTTATCTGTATGTCAGTTGTCAGTGCGGAGTAAGAAAATACTGTTTTTGTTTTTTACTTTATTTGCAGGTGATGATTGGAACTGCTCTGAATGTGCAGGAGATGAAAAAACTGGTTACTCACATGGGTGAGATTGAGCATCCCTGGAACTGCCCCCACGGAAGGCCTACGATGAGGCACATAGCCAGTCTGGACTTGATCGCAGCTGAGTGACTGTCAGCTTCTCTTCTGTGACGCTTCCCACGGCAGCAGCTCGCTGCTGTCCCAGGCTTTTATCACGGCTGTCTGACTTGGACTGAAATACGTAGCCGGGTTCCACAGTAAGAAGTCATTCAGCAGTCTCGTCCTTCTGATCAACGGTACTGACATAGAATTCGTGTGAATACCAGCTTTCATTGTGGTTTACTTTATGTATTACTCAATTTCGTAGTCAAGGTTTTTAAAATAAATGTCGATGTGTGTATGTGGGGACCCAGAGCGGGCTACCATCGTTCGCTGCAGCTACAGTGATTCTTAAAGCTGATGTTCCCAACTCTGAGAACGGCATCAATCAGGTGTTAAAGCGCGGCTGCTGCCTGGGATCACTTTAAATTAAAGGCAAACCACCCGCAGCTGGAAATGCAGCGGGTTTCTTTCTTAGGCTAAACCTGGGTTTCATTGGTAATTCCTTCAAGCATTAGTATTACGTTTAATGATTATCTTACTGCCGTCTGTGCTTAATGTTCAAACAGAGAAACCATCCGGCATATTGAATTAGCTCTATTGCCATTTACGTTCCCACGTTTTTCACAAAGGGATCCTCCTTTCCAGACGACAAACGGCGAGCAGCCGGCGGGCAGCGACCACAGCCGCGTGCACACGTGCGGCCGGGCTGCCCGCAGGGCCTCTGCCTTCTGCCGCCTTCCGCCGCCTCCCGCGCCGCCGCTCGGCCCACAGCGCGGAGCCGCCCCACGCGGCGCGGCCGTTCGGCGCGAGGACGGCGGCTCGGCTCCGCTCCGCTCTGCTCCGCTCAGCTCTGCGCACGCGCAGCCGTCGCCTCGGTTTCCTGGCGCTGGCGCCGTCCGTGCCGCGCTCCGTTTGATTCCTGTATCGTAAAGCTGCGGTCGCTGATTTGTGGGTGAAAAAAAGTGTGGATTTGTGTGAGCACAGCGGTTCTCGCTGTCCCGGAGCCTTCCTGTGAGCGTTGCCTGGCGGAACGGCCTCGTTTCCGTGGCTGTGGTGGCAGGTTAGGCTGCGTTGAGCCCCGCAGGAGCGGAGCGGTGGCTGTGCGCGCGGCTAAGGCGGCTTGGCCTTCACGCGTCACTGAATCCGGGCCCGAAAATCCTCCCGGGTAGACGGGCAGCTTTGTGTAGCAAAAAGAAACCTGCCGAGTGCTTTGGAGGCTGAGCCCGGGTCTGAGCGCCGCAGAGCGGAGCTCCGAGGACTCGCCGTGATCACGGTGAATGCGGTGAGGGAAGGCGAGGTGCTGTGGGCTGTTTGGTTTTTGCATTGCATAGAGAGGGAGAGCTGTGCGTAAGAAGGCAGTACTCAGAAGGAAAGTAGAGGTTCGGACATCTCAGTTATGGCAAAGGATAAGAAGAGAGATGGCAAGAAGTCAGAGAAGTCTGTCCCTCCCGTCCCTGCACACAGTGCTGCAGCTGAGAGCAGTCCCACAAAGCTGACAGCTCTGCACGCCTCAGCCGACGGAGCGGAAGAAGGGCAAGCAAGTGCAGCAGTGTTGGATAAAGGACCAGAGAAAGCAGTGGAAGCTCCCATCCAAGATGTTCCTCCGTACTACGAGGAGCCCATTCTTGCTCAACTCGTTGTGAAAAGGTATGTTTGGTACAGGCCTGACGGTGAGATTGGGAATTCTTGCTCAGGTATCCCTGATGTACATGCTACGCGTCATAGAAATTCCGCTTAGACTCTTGAATTGTGGCAGTGAGTGAAGTTATTCAGACCCAGTAGCACTGACACTGTTGCAGTGATGCACAGAAATTCTGCTGCCCTGCTTGGATCCTGCAGTGCTGCTGGCACTCACTGCCTGCTGAGAGATTTGTTCTTCAGGATGGGGTAAGGTGCAGGAGGTTTGTGTAGAAAACATGTGCACATCACTTCATTTCCAGTTGTCGCTGCCTTTTAGCATTTAGTCTTTGAATTCCTCATGAATGTCCTGAACTGAGGGAAACAGGTGAATGTCATTTCTTAACTAATCGTTTGGTAGTTCAAGGAAAGTGTATGCAATGCTTCACATACTCACAGGTTGCCTGGTTGTAAGCTAATAAACACAATATGACTTTTTTTTAAAGGGGAAAAAAAATAGATGTCTGAAGCAACACAGTCATGATATAAAATATTACAGGCAAGATGCTGAGAGCTGCAGATGTTGTGTCTTGTGTTGGAAATAGAGCTGCAGCAGGGATCTTTGTGCAGTCCATCAGAGTTATTTTATGTCTGTTGTGGTTTTGGTTTCTTGGCAGTGACCTGGAATGTTCATCTTCAGTTTGTTTTCTTTGCAGCTATGAAGGTGACAAAGTTCGTAGGTTGTATGAGGGTGAAGGTGTTGCGTTTTTTGAGGGAGGAAATATTTATAAGGTGAGTGTATAAATTAATAAATTTTAAAAAATAGTAGGAATCAATCACCTTATCTTTCTAGAATAAAGGCGCAGCTTCTTTTAAAGTAGATGAAGGCTGAGTGCTTGAAATGTGTATGTGTTGGAAGCTCTGATGTTTTCTGGCATTAAAACCTCAATGGAAACTTATTCAGAGTTGCATACGTTAGTTTGGGTTCTTGTAGTCCTTGTGTTAGTTGTGGTAGGAACACATTGGCAAACAATGGCTTTCTGTTCACTTTGTAGGGCATGTTTTCTGAAGGGCTTATGCACGGACAAGGGACTTACACGTGGGCTGATGGAGTGAAGTATGAGGTGAGGTGCAATACACCTTGTGACTGAACACTTTTACAGCCAATTAGAGGCGCAAGTTTGAGTAAAGTTGTGTGAGAGTAATTGGTGCGATACAGTTGGTAAATGCAGAGCTGTGGCAGTGATTTCAGTTGCAAACCTGGGTTCTTGGAGAAAGCTGGTTATATCTTCCTTGCACTGAGGAGGAACAGTGTCACATGCCTCATGTTTTGTAAATGCTGTGATTTAATCTTTTAGGGAACGTTCGTTAAGAATGTGCAGATGGTTAATGGATGCTATATGTGGAACGATGGCAGTATTTATGAAGGCTCAATCAAAAATGGACTCAGGCATGGATTTGGCTTTTTCAGGAGCGGTATCCATCCAGTTTCTTACGTTGGTTACTGGTATAAAGGCAAAAGGCATGGAAAGGTAAATAAAAACACCAAGCAGAACACAGGTTCAGGTGAATATCTTCTAGAAATGCAATTACTTTCCTGCAAAGATTTCACAAAGATGTTTTATGTCACTGCACAGGCTGGCACTGTATAGAGGTGCCTTTGTCATTAGTGCCTTCTCTCTGAGGTCCTAAATGCTAATAGAAACAGTTGAGTTGGGGTCTTGTTTGTAGTAGAGAGGATGAATGGTGTGCCACAAGAGTAACTGCTCTGTGCTGCGGCTTGTCCTTTGGGCTGCTCCAGTTGACCAAGTCAAAACTGATGCCTGCATCCATAGCCACAGAATGATGCTGCTGCCCACAAAGGACAAAGTGATGGTGCCCCACGGCGCCCTTGGGCAGACCAGGTGGCAGCTTTTTGTGCGGATGATGATTTGGTATTGATTTAAATTGACTGTGCTCTTTGTTTCAGGGCACCATTTATTATGACCAGGAACATGTGTCTTGGTACTCAGGTGACTGGGTAGATAACGTCAAAGAAGGATGGGGAATAAGATGGTAAAGAAGATAACACTTTGGTTCTTTTTTTTTCCCATGAAATATCACTATTTCTTTTTCTGTTGTTTGAAAACAGATGCAAATGCTACTATTTCACAGTCATGTATTTTCTGCAGTGAAATAAATAATTGTTTGAAATGTTTGGTGGTAAAACAGATCTTCTCTGTGACTTAAAGTTGTATGTTGATGTATTTATCCTGGTTACTGTTGAAAAGGAAGTATAAACAAAATGAAATAATTCCACCCCAGCTTTGGTAAACCAGAAGTCAACATTTCAAAGCAAATTAATTGAATTGATTTGAATGGATGGAAGTGATTTTGTGATTAAATGAATAATTTGGTCTAATGTTATATAAACTAATAATTCCATTAGTTATGATGAAGGCTCTTCAGAGTGAAAGTTGTTAATATTTTTTCAAAGGTTTGTAAGTTAAAATTGAGTAAACAGTGCACACAGTGAAACTTGTGTGTTCCTGTTGAGCCAAATCAATGCTGCTATTTAACACAAAGAAATGCTAAATTTATTAACATTGAGGTTTTGTGTAAATCCTACTTTTTGTAATACCCACTTAGGAGCTCATTCCTAATGAATCCTAACTCTTCTTACAAATATTTTTTTCCCAGCTATAAGTCTGGAAATGTCTATGAAGGTCACTGGGAGAAAAATGCACGCCATGGAAGGGGAAGAATGAGGTGGCTGACAGCTGGTCAGGAGTACATTGGGCAGTGGGTGCATGGAGTACAGGTATTAATTTCTTCCTTGGAACTTCTCTAGTTGAAAGTGTGTCCTTTAGCCAGTCACAATTCAATAGGTATTGTTGTGCAGTGTTGAGGAGCTTGATGTGATTTTGCTAGCAGAGATTGAGAAGATGTGCTGGTTGTTGTAACTTGATTCTCATGTTAGCAGTGTTCACATTTTTTAAAGGCTTTTAAGTCTTAAAAATCATAATTTAATTCTCTCATAGGAAGTTAAAAGCTTGTTAAGTAAAAATAAAAAATAAAAAAAGATTAAGTTAAGTGTGTGCTGCTTGTTTTATCTTGAGATATGACTTCGCCGTGTGTGGTAATGAGGTGTGTGCCATCCGTGATGTATGCTGCTCCTTCTGGAAGCTTCACGATGTAGGGAGATTTCTGCTCTTTTGTGTTCCTTCCACGTGTTGTTCTGTGGGAAAAAAGAGTAGGAGCTGCTTCCTCTGTCTTTTCACTCTGCACTGAAATGTCCAGCTTCTGGGGCATGGAGGCGCTCTGCAGTGTGGTGCTCCTCAGCTGGCTGCCACAGCGTTAGGGTTGAAAGGATTCGGACTGGAAGGGTGTCTTTAGGAGTCCTTTTGTTAGAGCCTGCTGTGTTGATTTGGATATGTGTTGATTTGGGATGTGTTGATTTGGGATATCCTCTGGAATGTTTCTCCCGTGCATCTTTGTAGAATATATTCTGCATAGAAGGGCAGCGAGGCTGTGAAGGGCTTGGAGAATATGCTGTATGAGGAGCGGCTGAAGGACCTGGGGCTGTGTGGTCTGGGGAAAAGGAGGCTGAGGGGAGACCTGATTGCTCTCTTCCAGTACCTGAAAGGTGATTGCAGTGACAGCAGGGCTGGTCTCTTCTCACTGGTTGAGGGGAAATGGCCCCAAGCTGTGCCGGGGGTGGTTTGGGTTGGATATCAGGAAAAACTTATTTACAGAAAGGTCATTAAGCACTGCAATGGGCTGCCCAGGAAGGTGGTTGAGTCACTGTCCCTGGATGTGTTTAAAACGTGTGTGGAAGTGATGCTCAGGGCTGTGATTTAGCAGAGGGCCGTTAGAGGTAGGGGAGTATGGTCAGGTTGTTGTTGGACTTGAAGATCTTTAAGGTCTTTTTCAACCTGAGCAGTTCTATGGTTCTATTCACAGCTATTTGTTGGGTGCTCTTTATCTGGGAAGTCTATCAGCAGCAACTCTTAGAGATGTCTAGATTGTTCTCATTTGCAAAGGTTTGAGCGTGTAGCATTGCTACTAGGACTTCAATATTTTTCAGCATGGATATGGCACCCACATCTGGTTTCTGAAGAGAATGCCTGCATCTCAGTATCCGCAGAGTAATAAATACGTGGGTGAGTTTGTGAACGGGCAGCGCCACGGCCGAGGGAAGTTCATCTATGCCAGCGGAGCGGTGTACGAGGGCCAGTGGGTTCATAACAAGAAGCATGGCAAGGTGTGTGCTGATAAGCAGTGAGACAAACCTACAGGCAGCACCAGAAAAGACCATTATGGCCTTGTGTAGCGGGTTTCTGCATTCCTGTACCAAAAACTGCTTGCTGTTTGTGTCATGTGTGGAAACTGAACATGAAGCACAGAGAATGCTGAAGGCAGATGGGGCACTTTTCAGGGACCTTCCTGGGCCACCATTTGACTCTGAAGCATGTTATGCATATAATGAAATACATTTTACTGTGAAGATTTTCAGTGCAATGGCTGCACATTGACTTTAGCAACAGCTGCTCAGTACTTCTCCTCCCGTGAGCTAATGAATGTCAAGCTGTCCTTGCACAGAGGGTTTCTGGTATTAGTTGATTATTTTGTTTAAAAAAGCCGAACACACACATCTGTGGGTAGCTTGTTAAACTATTGAGACAGACTGCAGTTTTTCCAAATGGGGGGAGTGTTTTCTCTCAAAATATGTTATAAAATTAAAAGACACATTGACAGTTCTTTAACCTAGCAGTGTGCTTTAGCAGGTGACATCGTAGAAAAGATACGAAAAGTTCTTTGCCTTACTTTATCTCATAGTTGCATTTTAACCAAATGGATAAAAGAAAGATTAACTGAGAGCGTTAGTAGTATTTTTTTCCTAATCTTCTATTACATAGGAGAATTTATATTGAAATTAATCAGTTCAATGTCTGTAGGGCAAGTTTGTCTTCAAGAATGGAAATATTTATGAAGGAGAGTTTAGAGATGATAAGATGGTAGAATATCCTGCTTTTCAGCTGGATGCAGAGAGTGCTCCAAAGCTGGATGCCGTTTGCTGGGGAAGTTGTTCTGGCTCTGGTGAGTAACTGAACGAGTTCTAACAGCTTACCTTTTGTTGCTCATTTTTCTCTCATGTCAGTCTGTTTGTTCCAGAGTTAGACCAATTTCCTTGGGGAATTTTGGTGAGGACAAGTTATTTTAATAGTTAATGCTTATTGCTTCTATTTGTCTTGTTTCTAATGTGTGACACTTGGAGTAATGAGCTCCTACTGCATCTTGTAACAGTTTGGAAACTGTGTTGTCTTGAAATTTAATGGCATATGTAATGCCTGCATATTTTTGGTTAGTGGTTGGATTTGAAGAAAAAAAAAAACCAAAATGCTACATTGTGATGCTTATAGTGTTGGTTATTAAAGAATATTCTGCTCAGTGTATAGGAGGTTATTAATCCCTGAAGTTAGTAAAATAAGATGGAATTGTGTATGTTTTATTTTCCTTGTGTGTATGTATTTAATTTTCTTTTGGTTGTAATTTATTTGTGTGTTAGAGGCCATCAGAATCATTAACAACTCAGAAAATCCTTCTGCTCTGGGATCAGATATTGAATTAGATATATCTTCACTGCTCAACTTGTTGCCAGGGGAAGAGAGACAAGAAGAAGTGAAACAAGTAAGAGCCTTCTGCCTGGTGTATTGAGGTTTTTTTTTTTTTCTCCAGCAAGTTTCTTATTATCTTATTTCTGACTTAAAGATATTAAAGTAAGTCTTTCCATTTGTGAGTTATTCAGAAATCCAAAGGCCCTGGAAACAGGAAGGCACAAAGAATGAATAGATGGTATTGACTCTTCCTGAGCAGCCACTGGGAAACAATACAGAATGTTAGCTTGTTTGGAAGGGCAGTCAGCAGCTGCTTCCAGATACTGCAGGGTTTGTCTGCCACGAAAGATACGTGTTGTGACTTCATCTGAGTAATGCTGTCCTGAGCCCTAGCCAGAAACGTACTCTGGAGTGTGGAGTTTTAAAAATCAGAGCTTTCTGTGCTCCATATGAGCAGATTTCTAATTGCTAGGAGACTGTACTGAAAACATGTCCTGCTTGTTTTAGGTAGAATTTGCTGTGTTGAGACATATTACAAAACTGAGAAGAGTTTACACCTTTTACAGCAGCTTAGGCTGCGATGATTCTCCTGACAACACCTTCCTTATGACCAGGCTCCAGTTTTGGAGATTTCTGAAGGACTGCTGCTTTCATCACTCCAGTCTAACTCTTGCTGAAATGGACCGGATACTGAGTGGTTTGTATTTCCTTTGGTTGGGCCTGGAAATGAGGAACTTTATCAGTGAGGCTCTCCTCTTGTAGTCAAATGGCCTGGAACCAGTCACACTGTGCCTGGGAATCTGCAGGGCTTGTATTAATGCTTTTACAAAAAACACTTGGGGTATAGGTGAGAAAAATGCAAAATCAGAATACCGTTAAAATGGTTCTGAAGAGCTTCTGTTCAAAAGCTGTGGTTGTTCCTGGCCTTGCCATTACAGTTAAATGCAGCTTTAGGAAGTTTGGGAAGGACAAGTTAAAGACAAAGATCTGTAATACTTTTTCCATGCTCTTGACTTGGGTTTGAATGTAGTATATTTTTTCTCTTTTGAGAAAAGCTCATTAGTGAGTCAGCTCTATTTGGACTGCAGGTGGACCTTCATCACAGAGGCACGCAGTGCATCCCCGGTACACAAGGGGTTAACTTCTTAGAGTCTTTAGAAAGAGAGATGATAAGATTAAGCTACAGATCCTCTGCTTCCCTTGCTCTGCTTATCTGAAAGCAATGCTGTGTCTGGTCTGATTCATCCAGGACTGTTTCACAGCAGCTGTTAAGGATGGGGAGGATTGGAAAGTTTTAAGCTCGGTATAGTCATAAGGATTTTAATCTACATGATGGCAATAAAGGGTATTTTTTTTCCAATTTTTTTAGGTGATAAAACACCACTTGAGGAGATACATTCTCCATATGAGACTTTACTGTTTAGAACGTTTTTATCTCACCTTATTCATCTGTCATTTCATATGTATCATGAGGAGCACAAGTAAGTTTCATCTTTCAATGAAATTTATTTCAAAGTCATGTTGGATTCTTTTTTTTTTTTTCTCCTCTCCTTTTGTTCTCCTCTGCAGAAGGCATCTGCTTTTGCACCCTTAATTGTCCATTCTCTGGTATCTGTCCTGATACCAGGCAAAGTATCCCAGTAACTGATTCTGGGCCTGCTATCAAAGTACTCAGCAGCCATATGTCAGTGCTTTGGGAGCTGGTGTATGTACACAGTACATAGCTGCTTATTATTCCATACAAATAGTAGCAGATGTTTTCAAAGAGAAAGGCAGAGTGCTGAATTCAAGGGGGCTTTGATCCTACTACATGAGGGGGCTTTTGAAATTTCTCTTTAATGTACAACATTAATGAAGCAACGTTTTCATATTGAGCATAAATGTGAATCTTCTCTCTTTAATTCTGTGTGAGAGGGTAGCATTCGAGACGGTCTCGAGAAGGACTGTTTTCCAAGAGTCTTGAATTTCAGTGAACTGTCAAGAAAAAAATCTGTTGTAAAATCTTGCAGGATAAATGTACTCAAAAATAAAAGCTTTCCTTGTACGTTTTGTGCAAAAATTAAAAAAAAAAAGTAATTTTTGTTTGAATTGTAGAGGTAAAAGTCCTTACCTGCATAAGTGTTTCATTGAAATGATGTCCAGGAATGTTAATCCCACTGCGTGCCATATTCAGGGTAAGGAAGATAATTTCCTCTTCCATTGTTACCACAGGCATCCTGGTCTTACAGTAACCATTGCTTTTTCCTACTGAATTTTTTTACAGGTCTCTTATTTTCTGAACAGCGTCGTGCTGTTTTTGCCATGAGGTACATTGACAAATGCTGGGAAATACACAGAGCTTTTTGTCATCAGAACACCAGACCTCCGTTTGAACCCACAATGAAGATGAGGCAGTTCCTCTGGATGCTGAATGTAATCTAACTACTTCTTTGTGTGCGACTAGCTGCACTTTGCTCAGCTTATATGGGCATTTTGAGGTTCTGCCTGTGACTTCTGCACACTTGGAAAAGTTTGATAACGCTGCTACAAACTGCCTGACAGATGTTATGGGCACTCTGGCACAGAAGTTTATGCACTTTTTGCAGGATTGCCTTCTGATCATTTCAAATCATCAAATCTCAGGCAAATGTTTGCCTTTTTTTTTTTTTTTTTTTTTAATATAAAACTTATATGCTGAAGTATCATGCTGCTACAAATCAAAGAATGGAACCTTTGGAGTAACGCAGTGAAGAATTTTGATGAGGTTTAAGCTTAATGTACTGCACCTTGGTCTTGAGATTCCTTACTAAAATTCAGCAATCCAAGGCTAGATCCAGAGGCTAGGGAAGAATTCCAATCGATATAACTGGGTTCTGAGTCACTGTCACTTTTAAACCCAAGCCTTTCTTTTTCCTTGAGCTTTCTTTAATAAAGCTATTAGAGGACAAAATTGTAATATTCTGTAATATTACAATTGTAATATTATTATTTATGATCTTTCTTGAGGTTTTTTTTCTTAACATTGTTTCTGAATTATCAGAAGAATTCCCACTGAATTCTGTGGGGCCAGAATTTCAGTCTATCATTAATTATGTTGTGGAAATATCAGTTGAATCCAGTACAAATTTTGACACAGGCTTTAAAGAGAGTTGGGTTAGGTCTGTTAACATATAATCTTTAATCTTACTCAGGATTTCAAACTCCTTGGCAAGCAATTAACTGCTTCAAGACTTGTGGAAATACTTTTCAAAGAGGGTCCCTCCCTACATGACAGCAGCAGTAGCAACCTGGAGCAGGAGGTGTGTATGGGGGGCAAAGTAACAGCACACACAGAAGTCCATTGCCACAGGAACAATTTTTAGGAAGTGTTGCAGCTCCCTGTCTGCTAGAACAGGAAGAAAGTGTCATTTACTGTGAAAAAAAGACTACAATCTTGGTACTGTTTTTATTTTCTGTTGCTTTGTGCCTGTATCTTCTAGTTTAGCTTAGTGTTCCATATTTTGATGATTACTATGCCCGTGTGCTGATCCTACAGATATTACCCTGAAAGAATTGTAACACAGGGGGTGCAATGCCTGGTTAGTGATGTGTGAATTGCCAACTTAATAGATAGCAGCTATAGAAGGTTCTTCAGCTCCCAGCTGGCATGCCAGATCCTTGAGGAATGGCTCTTATGTAGTGACAGTCTATTATAAATGACACAATTGAATTTGTGATTTTTAAACAGTATCTGGTATACACCATGTGTGTTAATAAAGGATTTGCTATGCCCCTGTTACTGGCAGTTTTAGAAGCATCATCCACAATTGAACATTGTAAGTTCTGGCAATGCTGTGTGTTACTGCTCAGAGAGAGAAATTCCTTGTAACTCCAGGTACGACAAAAATCAGTATTATTAAGTGACTTGTAGAAGGCATAAACACAGTGTATCACCTTCTGAATTTTTGGTGCTTTGGCCATTTTTTCTTTCAAAGAAGGAATCTATGAGTAGACATAAGAAGCTAGGGGGGGCTTCACAATTAGTGTCTGAGTTCCTGATTTGCTTAGGCACACGCATCTGTCATGAGATTTTGCAAAGATGAATGAATTGATCACTGTTTGTTTTACTCTAGCTGGTCTTTCTTGAATTTGTTGAAGCTCTTCTTCATTGTGCCTTGGTGCATGTTACCAGTGGTGTGATTAAGGAGCAGGTAGATGATCAGAAAAGTAACTTCAGAACGGAGGGTTTCTCCGAAGGAGCCACAAATGAGACTTGCTACACGCAGTTTTCTCTCTCGCAGGTAATGCTGATGCAGACTGATAAAATATTATTACTTGTCCACTTAAAGAGAGCAAAGTCAGGCCCTGCTAAAGCCCAAACATGGGAATTAAATTCCTGTCTTTGTATAAACTCCTCATTTGAATGAATCCTGTTTTTTGTTTGTTTGTTGCTACCTTAGACTGTAACATCAGTGTTGACATTCCTAACTTGCAGGAACATTTTTGTAGATAATTCTAATTACACACAGGACACTTGCAAGTCTCCTTCTGTTCAACAAGTGGATGGACTGGTGGCAGGGATGCCTCTCCTGCTTTAAGTGGAGTGTCAGAACTGATGTGTAAGAGTGGCCTTAAAGCCATTGCCATGTTCCCAGAGGATACACTGTGCTCTTTTCTTTTTGCTGATTTTTTTAACACTGATTCAGTAGGTTGTAACATGCTGCCTGTGACACTGTGCACCCTGCTGTGGGTGCCAAGGAATTTCAAGTTTTGAAGGGGGCTAGCATTTCACCTAATGTTAAATATAATGTGCTCCTGTGCCTGTATGTATCTATGAGCCTAACAGTGGTGTATTTCTATAGCTAACAAAGCATTTGCTCCTGTAAGAAGCCTTTGCTGGTCTTATTTAGGATATTAGTTGCTGTTTTCTGCATAAAGCAGAACAATGTGATTTCAGTATTGAATTTCAACACAAGACCCAGAATTTATTAACTGAATTTTAAACTTCTTGCCAGGTGCTGAGACCTTGTGAAGACAGAGGGCACAGTCGTCAAGAATTTTTGATGGGTGAGTACTGTAGTTAATCATAAGCATCCATAGGCAGGGGTGGTAGAGGAGATACACTCTTGCTACAGCTTTAAAGGTGATTAAAACAGTAGTTAATAACTGAAACAGTTGGACATATTGTAATTACAGAGGGTAGAGGCATTCTGTTTTGTATTTACCCAAGGGGTTTACCTCTTTGTTTTAGTTTCCTACAGCTGCTACGCTCAGCTGGGCGAGTTTCAGTCTCTGAACTTTGAATGCTTTTTAATTACAAGCTATCACATTCTTCCTTAAGAAAACTAACTTAGAAACTTCTTAAAATTAAATTATTTCTTGTCTGTTCCATGCATTTGGGCATGGGAAGAGGTCGAACTCTGTGCTGCATATCCATTATGGATCTTTTCATTGGCACAGAAGTTTTCCAGCCACCAAGCTAGCTGAATGTCAGTGGCAATTCAGTCTTGTTTATCCTGAAGATCAACATGCAGAATTACAGACTGAGTCATTCCAACTTTTCTGTATTTGCCACACCAGACAGTGTCCTGCCATTCCACACAACTGATGGCAGGCAGTATCAGAGATGTTTGGCCACTGTCCAGTTGGGATAAAGAAAAAGAACAAGATTTCTCTCCAACATCAGAGTTGATAAGTAAAGCAATCCTACTGTGCTAAGACACAAAATCCCCTGTGCTTCTCCTTTAATTGTGACATTTTATTTGTATATTCAGTATCAGTTTGTCACAAGAGGGCAGTGAATGAACATCATTAATTCTGGAGATAAGTTTTTGAAGAAAAATCTTTAAGAAATAATTTAAAAGAAAGAGATTTGATCAGTGAGAATTTTAAGTACTCCTAACTTAAATAACTTTTAGTTTTGAAATGCCACGTCTTATATGTAGGGCATCGATGTTTATCATGTGCTTTCTGGGCATTTCAATTTTGGGCAAATACAAGACTTTACAGCTATTTTTGTCTTCTTTTGCTCAAGTCAGAAACTGGGGCTCTCTGTGTTTGTTAGTGTTACACAGACAGAGAAACTGAATGCATGAATGTAAGTAGACAAGGTGTTCTTTAAGAAGTCATCAGACCTTTCACTCCGATGACTGAAAAATTAGACCTGAAAAAAAAACATTTCATAACCACTGGATGGGCTCTAGGCTGCTTTTCAATAGCTACAGCTGGGTGTATTTTTGTTCTTTCAGTAGTCATTTCCATCCCTTTGCTCCCCTACCTACAGCAGCCATAGATACTGAACTGCCATTAGATTACTGCATAATTAAAACATTTGTCATAGAGTTAAAGAGGAATGCTTATTCTAACTCTGCTCCTGGAGATGAGGAACACAGAAGACCTGCATGAGGGCCATCCCTTTCCACTTGCAGTCATAAGTTTCTCACATTTGTCATCTTGCATTCTATGCAGAAGCAAATGTGCACTGCTTGCAGATGTGGAGAGGAGGAGCATCGGTGCAGCCAGACTCTTCTGCCAGAATTTCAGATGTGAAATATTGTATTCCAAAAGGTATTTGAAATAGAAATATTCTTAACAAATACACATTTAACTTTCATGTTGCAGATGAACTAGAAGCCCAAACTGGAAAAGATAAGGACTTTGATTGGTGGATGTATCAAGTGCAAATCTTTTTTACAAACAAATTGTTTCCAGCCTACCAGCATGAAAAAGTGTTGAAGGCAAAAATAAAAGAAAATCGAATACGGAGTGCTGAGTTAGCTGAGCTGAGGAGGAGGAAGGATGAGGAGATAGCAAAGTGAGTATTTCACCTTTTACTAACAGAATTTCTGAAAATGCAAGATTTGCTTTAATAAAATAGTACAGCACACCACAACCAGCTCATCTGCAGAATGATTACAGGCTGCCTTCAGGTTACAGAAATGTCTTTCGTGGTACTTAATCCCTGCTCTGTGTAAGGGGAGTCAAGTCAAATGTGTTTTTTGTATACTGTAAATTGGACTTGTAGAACTAAGTAGCTGGACTTCTTGCTTCTCAGTTCATACTGTGAGTATAGTTGCAACTGCTTGGCCAGCATGAATGTGTCTCCCTCCCTGCTGTACATAACTTTAAATCTTGTTCACTCAGACTTATTGCTGAAAGAGAAGCAGAAGATGCAAAAAAGCAGAAAGGAGCTGCAGAAGAAGAAATGTCATTGGAGTGCAAGAGTACAGTGTTTAAGGAGTTAGAAGAGCCTGGTGCACAGTCAGCACCCCCTCCAAAGGAAGAGGCTTCTGCTGTACCAGCCCCAGCTGTTACCAAGGTGCCCACAGGAACCAAGAGGAGGAGGAAGTGAATCTTCTGATAAGATCCACTAGACTGACAAGAATGTAAGTGTTCTTTGAAGAGAAAAATACAAACCAAAACCCACACCAAATAACGCTTCCACTGGCATCTGAATCACAAGTGCTATAAAAGTGAGATTTGCTGTTCTGCTGAAACTTCAAGGCTAGCTGTCCTTAAACAAAGAGCCTTGGGAAAAGGAATGTGTGGGCAGTTAAATAAAGTGTAACCCTCTGCAGAAATAAACAAAGTTATTCCTGCAGTCAATGTTAGCTAATTAGTTAAAACTTGTATCAGTGTTAAGGTGATACAGAACTTATGTTCCCTATCGATGGTATTGCTGAAGTAAATGGCTTCATGTTAAATTAGTTTTACATACATGAAGTAAGTCAAGTAAGTATTTTTTGTGGTCCGGTCTGATTGTGTTTGGGGAATACTTGCAGGTAGGAATTTGACAACAAAAGAGCTAAAATTGAAGCAGGACTTGTTAAGAACAGGTCAGGTCAGCCTAGGGCTGGAGCAAGAGAGTTACAAAGACTCAGAGGTGTTTGTAAGCTGTCTGATTTCACAGCGCAGCGTAATGTCCTGCTTGTTCTATGCAAATCAGCAAGAGATCAAAAGATGCCCTTAAAAGTGTAACAATTATTAGCTGTATTTTATTTGCCAGTAAAATATTCACATAACATCAGAATGGAATGGTACAGGTGAATTCAGACTGGTTTTTAATTTGTTTGCACATACATAAACTTCTTTAAAATCTAGAAATTTCATGATCAGTTTACAGATTTTAGTAGAAATTTTGATTCTTACAAAGCAAGTATTGCTTTACTATTGTCCTTATTCCAGTCAATAATATGACTAATAACTTTTCATGTTGAACAAGTGTCTGACATTGACATCTTTATAAATCAGTCCTCTGCAGATCAATCCAAGAAGAAAATATTATTAAATTGTGTCGCACAAAGTTTCTTCACTTCTTCTGTAAAACAAACAAAGAAAAACCCCACATTTAAAAAAATAACATTTTAAAGGGACCTATGTAAGAAGCAGGGCTAGCATCAAGTAGAGTATAATTAAATAGACAAAAACAAACAACCACAAACAAGATTCTGCTGTAGACATTTTTTGTTGCTGTTTTCAGTAAGAGAAAGCTGAGTCAAGTCAGAAATTTCAGTCTGTCTGAAAGAGGAGCTGTAAGTGGCAGAAGTGTAAATGAGGAGGAGTTGGCTGGACCATCTGTCTTGTCAAACCTCTACACTGCCACAGCAGAATACCTGGCTTCCACACAAGGAAGGATATCATAAGATATACTTTTCAGAGGAAGGAGGGATTGCTGGAGTCTGTTACAATAAATCAGGTCAGCAGAGCTTTTTGCAGTTTGGCAGACAGTGGTGCAGGGGTAGCAGTACTTCCTGGATTTATAAGGCACACAAAGAAACACGTGCTGTTCCTGCACTACAGATTTGATCCTGAAGAACAACAGCCAGATAAGTCATGCCACCAGCTTCTCTTCCTAAAATTTAGATTTTGTTTTTCTTTCTAAGACGAAAGCATAAACTAATTAATTCTTTCCCATCATCCCTGTGAGAGTACTGCCTCTTATTAAAACACACAGTCCCAAAATTGCCATGCTTGTCCTACTCAAACTACTCCTCTTAAAAATGAATCTGTTTAAAAGCTTACTGCCACTTCCTGCTGATTTGCCCTTTAAGAGTAAATCACTCTTTAAATAGCATTAAAAATAGACAATAACTGAATGAATACCAATGACAGGAGAGACGTGATGTGTAAATAACCTACTAATGGATCACTGACAAAAGTCAGATATAGCAGTTTTCAACTAATACACTTCATTAATTGTTCCTCAGCTTCACAGGGTACTTCTCTATTTCCAAGGAGGAAGAATAACTGCTTAGATATTTGGCAGGCATGCTTAAATGATGCTGCTATTTTTCTGTAGCTGATGGAAGGCAGACTAAAACCTTACAGCTGTCCTTGTCCTGCCTGTTGTAGATCACTGTCTCGAGGTTTTTGGATCAGATGGATTTTATTATTTTTCCACAGACAGATATTTTAGTAGTAACTACTTGAAGGTAATAAAAACCAACCCTTACCGTTAACTTCAATCAGGTTTGCATTTTTTTGATTCAAAATAACATACAATTCTCGCTGGTCAGACTTTTTCCCAACTACCCAGTAATCACTCATTGCCTTCACAATAATTTCCTCATCTTCATCAACTCTGAAAGAAGTTGCAGAAGGTAAAGGTGATGGCAAACTGCTTTTCAACAATTTTCAGTACAAATGATTACAAATAATGTCCTGATTTGTTGTGTCTGTGTAGTATCAGAGTACTAACTTGATAATTCAATAATTCATCAATCCAAGATGAAAACTTCACAAATAAGCTGTGCAGAATGATTTAGTCACTGAAGGACACAGATCTTAATTTTCTGCTGCTCTGAAGAAAACGTCTGTCTTCCAGGAAGCCCAGGAACACTTCAAACATTGTTTTGTTACCATGACCAGAGTACAGGTGGATATGCTGTGTGCAAGTAGTTCTCTCACATCAAGTTGTTAAACCTACAACTCAACCATGCTGAAGAACTAGGTCTGTTACACGAGGCTGTCACAAACCCAGGACTTCTGTAGCATGCAATTTTTTGATTTAAAGGAAAATGAAAAACTGAAGTTGGACAATTGCTAGTTCCTAGATAGAACTACAGGCATCACAGTCATTCTGTAGTGAAAGGAACGTCTCTTCACCATGAAATAGGTAAGAAGATACAACTTACAGAAAGCTAGTTACATTTTCTAGGAGCAGTACTGTAATAACTGCAAGGTTTGTATTCCATCTATTGCCCAGTCCCTAAAAGCAGCCAGCTGTTTCAGAGGAGCATGTGATACGATAGGCTGAAGCAGGTTTCCCTGTTCTTTATTCTACTTAGCCTGAAATTAGCCAGACCTGTGTGCAGAAGCAGTAGATAAAGCTTCAGGTTTCTTACAGTTTCTCTAAAGCTTCAACGAGATGAGATTTGCTAATATAGCACAGAGGCCCTGGTCCTTTACCTAAATTCTTTTTTTCTAAAGAACAAGAACAGTTTATGTATGACACACCACCTCTATCCACCACAAAATATACAGGACCAGCACAATAAAGTCTATCATGCAAAGCTATGAAAGTCATCCAGGTCAAAAAGGCACGGAAGCTTCACAAATGAAAAAAAAAAATTAATTGACAGAAGGACTTAAAAGAGTATTTCATAGTTGAACATTACCTAGAGAAGTCACTGTTGATGTCACCCAGAATCTTCATGAGGTCAGGATGTACAGATGCAAGTGATACACTGGGTGTTTTCCTCATGTGAATGGTACTCTTCTCTGCAAGGTTCATGTGATTGAAGTAGATGAACTTAAACTGAGGCTCCTTCTCAGCCCTAGGAAGATTCAGGAAAAGCAAGTGACTTGCAAATACTGCCACGGCACCTAAACAGGACTCAGAGAGAACAGCTGTCAGCCAGCCAGGGTAAAACTGAGACATCCTGAAATTATTTTCACAGTAAAGACAGCAAGTAAGACTTGTGGCAAAATCAAACTTCATTTCAACACTTAAATGAGAAAATAAAATGAAACAAATCAGTTTTTCCTCTTCTTGGGCTACTTGGACACACTGCAGTCTGACAGCCTGGTTCCATGTACAGCAATATTTTGTTCCATGTACAGCAACTTTCTTACAGGCTGCTTTTTCTCCACTGTTTTGTTTCCTTGCCACGTCAGCTTAGATTGGTTTTTAAACAGAAGCTTAGTCTTTAAACTGTCGAATTGGGAATCTTCTACTCACCTAATTTTTCTACCATAAAAAGAAAGAACTCTGCCTTGATCAGTGCAAATAAATATTCCATCATCAGTGGTGTGGCCAGGTGAGACTATTTTCAAACTCCTGCTTTCGTTATTCTTTTCCATTTCCTCTTTTATTACAGTAATATAACATCTGTCACTTACAGCTTCTGTAGGAGCCATAAGAAACTTAAATGGGCAAAAACTGGCTATGGCAAGTGGTACTACAAGCCATGTATTATTCAGCACGAAGGAGATACCCCGCTGACACCAGTCACCTTAGCAAACAACTAGATACACTTTCTCTCTGTCACTCCAATGAATTAGTTTCAAGAAACTGTATTGTGTTTTCAGGACATCATGGCATTAAACTTTAAAAAAGTTAAAGCAGCCAAAGCCAGCACCAGGTAACATAAAAAGACCCCCACGTAGTCTGGGAAAGCAGAAGTCAAATGAAATCAAGGTAAGAAAGGAGGTGGGCACAGAGCCAGCAGCGCTTTCTTTTCTGTAAGAAACTCAATGTTGTAATTGCCCAGGGCCATCTGTGAACTTCAAGAGATTCAGTCTTGCTCAAGAAAAGTTGGGAAGTACAAACTGAAGTTAAGGTTTTCCAGGAACTGCTGCTTTTCTACTTCAGCACACAGGGAGATGGATGGTAAAAATGCAGACTTAAGTTTTTTATCTTCTAGATTTATCAGCTAGTTTCATGTTCACATATGAAAGAAGCACTTGTAACTGAATAATCAGTTAACAGCTTGGGAATGAGGCAGCAGAATCTTAATTGATTAAGATTGTTAAGAATTATTATCTTAATGTTTACATGATTTTTTTGCAGCAGCTCTGCATGTAGAGGAAGAAGGTTTCAGCTACACAATGAACATTTATTCCTGTAGAAATAATGTGCATGTTATTACATCAGGAAGACTTGAATGTGCAACAACAAGGACTTTATAAATGCTTAAGATACAGAAGGATAGATAAACATTTAAGATACACAGCTAACCCAGTGCTGTCAACATTTAGGAACAGGTTGCTATTATATAAGCAGTCCAATAAGCCTAGTTTTTAACCAACTAATACAGGACTACGACAGAAGCAGAAATGTGGTACAAACCCTGATATTCTCTTGTTGATGTTGTATTGCTCACATATGTCTGAGGCTAACACAGTGAGCTGAGGCCCAACAATGCTGTCCAGTTTACGGCAAAACTCCAGTGTGGGTGGAATTGATGCTAAGATGGTAAAGAAAAGGGAGAAGTGAGATTCTCTTCCAACTGTAGACAGGGTACAGTTTCTGTAGTTGCTTTCCTTAGACATCATTGGAAGCCCTAGGACCAATTTATCTTTTAATTATACTCACGCACTGTGCAAATCATCTGTAAATTAACTTTAAGCAACACTTAGTCATTTTATTGTGTAAACTGAATTACCAGTGGAGCAAAATGAAAAGATCGATAAAAAGCACTCAGGAAGTAGAAACTCACATAAGAAATTAACTTGAGTGTTTTTCAAGAGTAAAACAAGTTTTATGCACTTTGGATTAACTGTGTTTCACTTTAGAAATGACACCTGCAGGTGCTTACCATCAATCATAAAGCAGACAGCTGCACTCATGGCCTGGAACAAAAAGGAAAGTTAAAAACATTTACAGCAGGTTACTGCAGCCACCTCAAAGAAATGGCAGTGCTTCAGGGACGCATTGGTCAGCCAGATTTTAAAAAATTACTGGTTACTACAACTTCACCCAG